AGTTAACGTTATAGCTGACTGGCTTACTCATGACAGTCTCTTTACTATTCAACGATAGCTAGCTAGCTAAGCTTGCTAGAAACATGGCCATGACGTATATGACAAATGTAAACATGGCATCAATGGTTACACGGTCATTTAGCTAACTATTGCAATTCGATATTTTTTGGAGGATGACCGACAGATCAGCTTGCTAGCTAGCCTGTTAGCTTACTTGTTTCCATTGCAAATTGTAGCATGACCTGACATTTGTGATTGAAAGTGAACAAGCTTTCTGCTATCGATCCCTTTTGGAACTTTCCCGAATTCCTCTCCGGAAATAGGTTATATCCGTAGTCCTCTTCTTGCTGTTTAGTTTGATCCATTGCATGGAAATTGTCTCTAAAATAGGCACTTTTGCTTCTAGGAACAAACACAGCCTAGCTACGAGAGGTCATTCTCTGTTTTCAAACCACTTGGTAAGCCAGACCGAGGTAAAATTAGTTGTATATTGGATATTCGGATTTCAATCTTCAATAGCTCTTACACAGTGTGCCATGACTTTGATAATTATATACTGTATTTTGAATCAGGGCAGGATGGATGAATTTTTAAAATGTATTTTTTCCCGTTTTCAATCTTCAATAGCATGCCAAGACTATGAAAATTATATTCTTAATCAGGGGCGGATTAACAAAAATCCACAACTTTTTTTTGTGTATATATAAATCATACAGTGGAACCCGTTCTATTTCAGTGCCAGACATATGGGAGGGAGAGATTGTTATTAGATTTAAGGAGTAATGGTGTTGAAGAGCCAAGCTTAAATGAACTGCTGATAAAATCATAGTCATGGCATGCTTTGTGTAAGAGCTATTGAAGATTGAAATACAAAATCATATTATAAAATATATATATATATATATAGAGAGAGAGAGTGAGAGAAAAAGGTGTAGATTTTTCTCCATCCACCCCTGATTCAGAATGTACCATTTTCATAGTCATGGCATGCTTGGATCAATAGCTATTGACAAGAGAAAACAGAATATCCAACATAAAACTAATTTTACCTAGTAAACCAAAGGTGAAAGATTCAATAAATGAATGTCTGCAACAACATTGTTGCTAGCTAGTTAACAGAAAATACATGAGCTTTTTCTAATATAATTACAAACAAGGTTTATTGAAAAACATTACTCCATGCATTGGCAAGTGACTGACTGCGTGCACGTTCGGTATAAAACAAAGCGCAAAGGCTGCTGGGACGGCCAAACGGTGGATGGTGGCTGGAAAAGCGCTCTTGTTTGAAATGGAAAAGCGTCGCGGTAGCAATTGATAAAGAACAACATCAAGACGAAGCAGTTGCTTTACAAGTGGGATGCACTGTTGAGCTCTACATCCCGAGGGGTTCGTGCTGATTGTACGGAGATTGTGGCAGCCGGTTAAATGGCGTCCCTTGAGAAGGCAAGAACAAGATGTATGTCAGGAGAAGTGCAGTATTATCATAAGGAGACGTATACCTGGGATGGAGGGGAAAAGAGAGGCAGGGGAGGTTTGAGAGAGAGGGAGGAAGAGGGTGAGCTTGAGTCGGTTAAAAATGGCGGGGGAAAAGGAGATGGTTTGTTAAAGAATGGTAGAAAGTGTAAGCAGAGTGAGCTGAAGACAGGATGAGAAATGGAAGTGAATGAAGGCGAAGTATCGGAGGTGGTAGGTGTGGTGAAGTTCTCGGAGCCCGAGGCTTTCACCGAGGGTCAGGATGAAGATGAGTCTGTGACAGAAGGAGTGAAGTTTTGGGAAAAAGTGGACCCTTGCCTTTTAGCTGATCCATTTGTGGTTTCAGGTTGGGTGAAAACAGAGTTTGGTGCTGTGGATTCGGTGAGAGTAATCAGAAGTGGTCTTTTGATAATTGTTTGTTTCTGCTGGTCAGAATGGGGGCAAGAAATGTTAAATGAATGGGGGCAAGAAATGTGAATTGTTTTGCTCTCAAGAAAAGGGTGCCATTGAAAGGAGTGATTACTAGTGTAGCAGTAAATGTGAAAGTTGACCAACTGAAGGATAAGATTCCCGGTGTTTGTGATGCTCGTCGTTTGGTGCGACGCAGACAGGGTGGCGGGAGTGGGGAAACAGAATAGTCGGTCTGTTCTTTTGAGTTTGGATGTTGAGTCTTTGCCCCACAAAGTGATATTAGGATATATAAATTATCCTGTACAAGCGTTTGTGCCGAATACGTTACGTTGTTACAGGTGTCAAGCTTATGGGCATGTGGCAGCAGTGTGTAGGAGGGAGGTTCCTACATTGAGGGAAAAAAGTATTTAATCCCCTGCTGATTTTGTATGTTTGCCCACTGACAAAGACATAAGTCTTTCATTTTAATGGTAGGTTTATTTGAACAGTGAGAGACAGAATAACAACAACAAAATCCAGAAAAATGCATGTCAAATGTTATAAATTGATTTGCATTTTAATGAGGGAAATAAGTATTTGACCCCTCTGCAAAACATGACTTAGTACTTGGTGGCAAAACCCTTGTTGGCAATCACAGAGGTCAGACGTTTCTTGTAGTTGGCCACCAGGTTTGTACACATCTCAGGAGGGATTTTGTTCCACTCCTCTTTGCAGATCTTCTCCAAGTCATTAAGGTTTCGAGGCTGACGTTTGGCAACTCGAACCTTCAGCTCCCTCCACAGATTTTCTATGGGATTAAGGTCTGGAGACTGGCTAGGCCACTCCAGGACCTTAATGTGCTTCTTCTTGAGCCACTCCTTTGTTGCCTTGGCCGTGTGTTTTGGGTCATTGTCATGCTGGAATACCCATCCACGACCCATTTTCAATGCCCTGGCTGAGGGAAGGAGGTTCTCACCCAAGATTTGACGGTACATGGCCCCGTCCATCGTCCCTTTGATGCGGTGAAGTTGTCCTGTCCCCTTAGCAGAAAAACACCCCCAAAGCATAATGTTTCCACCTCCATGTTTGACGGTGGGGATGGTGTTCTTGGGGTCATAGGCAGCATTCCTCCTCCTCCAAACACGGCGAGTTGAGTTGATGCCAAAGAGCTCGATTTTGGTCTCATCTGACCACAACACTGAAATCATTCAGATGTTCATTGGCAAACTTCAGACGGCCCTGTATATGTGCTTTCTTGAGCAGGGGGACCTTGCGGGCGCTGCAGGATTTCAGTCCTTCACGGTGTAGTGTGTTACCAATTGTTTTCTTGGTGACTATGGTCCCAGCTGCCTTGAGATCATTGACAAGATCCTCCCGTGTAGTTCTGGGCTGATTCCTCACCGTTCTCATGATCATTGCAACTCCACGAGGTGAGATCTGGCATGGAGCCCCAGGCCGAGGGAGATTGACAGTTCTTTTGTGTTTCTTCCATTTGCGAATAATCGCACCAACTGTTGTCACCTTCTCACCAAGCTGCTTGGCGATGGTCTTGTAGCCCATTCCAGCCTTGTGTAGGTCTACAATCTTGTCCCTGACATCCTTGGAGAGCTCTTTGGTCTTGGCCATGGTGGAGAGTTTGGAATCTGATTGATTGCTTCTGTGGACAGGTGTCTTTTATACAGGTAACAAGATGAGATTAGGAGCATTCCCTTTAAGAGTGTGCTCCTAATCTCAGCTCGTTACCTGTATAAAAGACACCTGGGAGCCAGAAGTCTTTCTGATTGAGAGGGGGTCAAATACTTATTTCCCTCATTAAAATGCAAATCAATTTATAACATTTTTGACATGTGTTTTTCTGGATTATTTTGTTGTTATTCTGTCTCTCACTGTTCAAATAAACCTACCGTTAAAATTACAGACTGATAATTTCTTTGTCAGTGGGCAAACGTACAAAATCAGCAGGGGATCAAATACGTTTTTCCCTCACTGTAGGTGTGAGAAGTGTGCAGAAGGGCATGAGTCAAACTAATGTGTAGCATTGGGGAATGTAGTGGTAAGTGTTAATTGTAGGGGTGCCCATGGGGCTGGGGATCAGAAATGTCCGGTGCGAGAGAGGCAAGTTGAGGTTTCAAGGGTTAGAGTAGTGCAGAAGGTGTCGTATGCTGAGGCAGTGAAGAAAGTAGAGGAAGATGGGTGAGGGATCCTGAGAGGAGTGGTGTGAGTAGTAGATCTGTACCAATACAGAGGGATAAGCCAACAAGTGATATGTTTAAGTAATATTTGGTTTTTAACATTTATAGCAATGGTTATCAACTGTACTGATGGAACGTAAGTCGCAGAAAATTGAGGTTGTGGTGGCAGCTGCAGAGAGGTATTTGAGTGTGTGAGACTTGCCATCAGAAGAGTTAGTGTGTTAAGTGGTGGTGTCCTGTCCTTTCAGGCTGTTGGCCTGAAGTAGGACTAAATATATTTCAATAGAGAAATAGAGTAGGGTGTTTATTTTTTATGAGTGTTAGATGGTAGGGTATTTTTTTTTTTTTTTTTTCAAGCAAAGTATAAGGGAGTTATACTCCAGTCTAGTAGGTGGCGGTAAATAACATTTATTGGATGCCAAACGCCGTTAAACCTCATCGAAGAAGAAATGCTGTCATGGCGCCGAACACAAACATAAAACGACAGTATGGTGATAGTTTGTAGCTAATATAAAATGCTAGTAAGACTCGTTTAAACGGATAAGTTATAATCATTTTGGGACGCAAGGGACAGGTACTCAAATATTATAATGTAATCTGCTCTTATTGGCAGGTCGAAGCTCGTTAAAAGCGTTGCGTTAGCTTAGCTTGCTACCAGCTATAAATTGCTGCTTTTGCGAGACAGCCGTGACTAGCTAACTAGCTAAATTCTCAACTGTAGCTAGCTACTTGGTGTTATAGTAGCTAGTCAACAGTAGCGTACTAGCCACACAGTTTTTGAGTAACATCAATAAAGAACTGACTGTTGGCTAACTAAGTTATTGTTTTATTGAATATCTGTCTCCGTTGACTAGCTAGATAGCTAGCTGACTAACATCTTAAATGAAAGTGATCCTATCTCCTGTTTTGTCAACCTAGTATATTCAATGTATTTGACAGGTAGACATGTCTGAAAACAAATCCATTGAACTCCAACTGCAAATGCGACAAAATGCAGAGGACCTGCATAACTTCATGAAAGATCTTGACAGCTGGGAAACCGACATAAAGAAGAAGGATGAGCAACTAAGAACTGGGAGCATTGGCGAGTCTCAAGTATGTTACACTTGAAAATGTGTATATTTTATGTTTAGCTATACAGTTGAGATTGTGCTATGTTAGAAACATCCTGACCTATGTATTCCTGCCTTAGAAAATCCTCCCACCAGTGCGAAACAAGGACTTCAAAAAGAAGAAGGGAGAAGAAGAAGGCATCAGACAACAATGCAAAGACTGAACCAAAACAAGCACCCAGGATAAAGTCTTATGACTATCAGTCATGGGACAAATTTGATGTGGTAATGGATTAGGTGGATCTTGCCTGTTTCTCGTTTGATTTCAATAGTGAGTTTTAAACTAAGTCTATGGTTTTAAACTGAATGGCAGCAGTGCACCCTGTTAAACAGTATGTACTGCTTGCTGTTACACTAAAACATTTTGGGATGTTTTTTGTCTTCTGGTAGGACAAGGTTTTGGAGTCCATGGATAAAGAGGACAGCGCTGCTGAGTCCAATGACTCTGAATCTGAGGATTCTGGGGTTCCTGCTACTGACCAAGACAAAGCTCTTGCTGAGAAGGAGAAAGTACGTCTTCACACTCATAGTATTGCAGTCAGACTCAGAAACAGCAAACCTAACACAGACATACAGAAATATGAATTATCGCGTATTTATGTCGTCATTTAAAATATTACTTATTATTATGATGACACAATGACCCCCATTGAAGGTGAATTCAATGAACATACTTGCAAACTGGGAATTTGTTTGCAGTATGCTGTGATTTAGATGTCTGTAGGACTAGAAAGTTGCCTCTGAAATCCTAGACAATTACCCATACAATATACCATTATCGGGTCCTTGTCAATAATACTCAGTCACCTGTACTCAGTAGATGTTACTACTTGACTGTATGTATGGATTGCAAAGTCTTATATTTGCTGTACTGAATTTCAGTTGTTTTTCAGGGTAATCAGCTGTTTAAAGAAGGGAAGTATGATGATGCCATTGAGTGTTACACCAGAGGCATGGGCGCAGACCCTTATAACCCCATTCTGCCTACAAACCGAGCTACCTGCTTTTTCAGACTCAAAAAGTAAGCAACAATCAGTCCATTACTTGAATATTCATGATATGTCATATTTTAAATGACAACATTAATGTGATAATTCATACTTCTGTATGTCTGTCAGGTTTGCTGTTGCCGAGTCTGACTGCAACTTGTCCATCGCTCTGGACAGTAACTACTTCAAAGCATTTGCACGAAGAGGAGCGGCTCGATTCGCCCTGCAAAATTATGAATCTGCCCTAGAAGGTGAGGAGTAATGGTAACACAACAAAACATGTTTTCAAATGGGTAGAATGCCGGCAGAAGGATGTATAGTTTTTATATGGCGTATTATCTTATAATAATAGGTCACTTAAAAACAATTTCTGCTTTCTTCCTCTACATAACTAGATTATGTAATGGTTCTCAAGCTAGATCCTGGGAACCTGGAGGCACAGAATGAAGTGATGAAATGTAAAGAGGTGAGACATTATCTGGTGCTGGATCTATTACTGTACCTCTGTATCCCCCTCCCTGATCCCCTCTAACCTCTCCTCTATCTGTAGGTCATTGCTAAACTGGGTGGGAAGGCAGAAAGCCCAGAGGCTGCAGTGGTGGCGCCACCTGTTGTGGACGTCAAGCAACAGCAGCTCATGGAGGAACAGCATAGAAGACAAGAGGCGGTGGTGCAGAAAGACAGGGTAGAGCCACCTGCTACACTTATCTTTTGATGTTAGTGTAGGCCCACTACATATTGGGTACCAGTTACCCAGCGACTCTGAGACACTGCAGCTCTGAAGACATACCACAGTTGTACTACAGCATGTTATTTGCCTGTTTTTAAGTGCATTGTTTTCTAAATGGTTACCACCGCACTAAACCTTGACTCTTTCAGGGGAACGCATACTTCAAAGAGGGGAAGTATGAGGACAGCAGTAGAGTACTACACCAAGGGCATGGAAGCGGACAGCACCAACGTCCTCCTGCCTGCCAACCGGGCCATGGCTTACTTAAAGCTGCAGAGGTACGCAGGATAAGTGAGTATTGGATAAGTGTAAATTCTGTCAAACTGTGCATTGATTAAGCTTGATTCTCTCCTCAGATATGTAGAGGCTGAGGAGGACTGCAGTAAAGCCATAGCCCTGGATGGCACCTACTCAAAGGCCTTTGCCCGCAGAGGGACAGCCAGGGCTGCTCTGGGACTGCTCAAACAAGCTAAAGAAGGTACAGTAGACAGGCATCCAAGATAGGCTATATCTTATTAGTAGATCACATGACATTAGCAACCATTTTGTATAGGCTAGGCAGGTTTCTATGTAACTACCTTGAGCAGGTTAAGTCTTTTAGTGTGAATGGTAGCAGTAGTCATGGAACTGTTTGTCATGGTTATTTATTTATTTATTGTAGATTTTGAAGAGGTCCTGAAGCAGGAACCGGGAAACAAGCAGGCATTTCATGAGATGAAGAAGATCGCCATTGTACGTATGTGGTTCCATGCTCACTAAGGCTTTTAGTGTTAATGTTCTTACACCTGTTGTCTTTGTTGACAAATCATTGACATAGCATCTCTCTGCTCCTGTGTAGGACATGGGCACCAGTGGTCTGCTGGCAACAGAGGAGCACGCACAGCGGAGAACAGTACAGCCAATTAACAAACCACCTCACCTGCAGTCAACCGTGAGTCACTCAGATAAAACAGGAAAAATATTCTCGCTAGGCTGTTTCTGAACTTGGCTTGAGAGATTCACACAACAATGTTCCTATTGGATTTCCTTGTATCTCAGAAGCCGTTGAGGAGAGTGGACATTGAGGAGGTTGGTGGAAAGATCCTGGTCCAGGAGGAGCCCTCGGCTGTGTTGACCTCAACCACAGCCCCCCGTGTTAGGCCCCAGAAGACCACCTCCATCGCAGACACTGTGAGAGAGGGTCAGGGTGAGGCCTCACCTCCCTCTACCTCCCCCAGCGCTAAGATCCTGAAGATTGAAGAGATATCAAACGTCTCCTCACATTCCCCTGTCAAGTAAGAGATACGATACTGTTTTATTGCTTAATCCCAAACCGATTGGCTCGAGGATTTGTTGATACATGTTTTTAGTTAGTTTATAATACAACTTTTGTCAACAGTTAGGCTTTTGTCAATAGCACCACTGATGAGGTTGTTTCCTTATTTCAGAGGGCTTGAGGGGGATACTGTGAGAGCACGGACACAGAAGCACAGGGAGGCAACCGTCAGTGAACCAACAGAACCGCCTGCTACACCCTCCTCCTCGACAGAGGTCGTACCTCCTGCCCCCGCCAACAGCTTCCAGCTAGAGGCAGACCTCAGGAAGATTGGAAATGGCCCTGAAGTCATCTACAAGTATTTGAAGGTGGGTGTGGAATTAAAACGTGACGAAAAACACATTACACTCACAAATGATATATTATGTGCAAATAGTTAAAGTATATATGGGAAAATAAACATTAAATATGGATTGTATTACTGTCCATTTTTTATTTAACCTTTTATTTATAGCCTATACAAAATGGTTGCTAATGACAGTGACTTACTAATAAGATATAGCCTATCTTCTTGTGATCATCTTTTCTTCAGAGAGACCTGGTCTCTTGTTTGGGATTCTATTTGTACAAAAGCAAATCACCATACAACTAGATTAGTCTTTTCTGCTGAGAAAAACATGTAGATGCCACCAAGGACTGATGTTTATTTGTTGTGTGTCTGTGTTCTGTTTTTAGCAAATCGAACCTCAGGCGTACGCCAAGATCTTCCAGAGCTCTCTTGAACCAGACATGCTCAATCAGATTCTAAGGACGTTACAAAGCTTCTACATCAAGTAAGAACTGTACAAATACCGTGCTATTATGAATGTTATGGTTCATACAAGAAATGTGACTGAGTTATCACATTGTCCTTCTATGAGGAACGAAGAACCACCTGTCATACTGGAGATCCTCAGGAGTCTGGCCGGTGTGAGGCGATTCGACATGGCTGTCATGTTCATGTCCAGCCCTGAGAAGAAAGGTACCGATTGGTTGTTGATCTGGCACAGTTTCGGATACATTATTTAACCCAAATGCAAAATTATTATACGGCATTGATAACTGCTAACTTTTGTTTGTTTTTCTAGTTCTACAAGAACTGTTTGACTTTCTTCTTCAAGCTGGACTTGAGGACGCTTCAGTTGGAGCCCTGCGAAAGAAGTATGGAGTGTGACGTGATAAATTACTTTTTCCCTAAGCAAGCAGTCGATTTGAAGTAGTGTTTTTCAATGCTCTATTACATGTTACTAATCCAAACAGTGCTGTATGTACGCAACAATGAATCAGTTAATTTTGGCTGCCATATTGGAAGGTATGTAACATTTGATGTAATACTATAGTTTTTTTCTATGGCTCAAAGCATGTATAAGTTTCATCCTCGTATGAGAAAACAGTACTTACTATGCATGGCCAAAAACAGAATGTTCTATCTGACTGCGGCCCAACACACCCATATGGATAATAGTTCAAATATGCATCTGCCAGTCTCAGAAAGCCAGGAGAACTGAAATACTAATAGAGGCACCTTTTTAGTTATTTTCAATTCTTCTGTCCAAGACTGTACATCTCATGTTCAATACATAAATTGCAGAGAATGAGTGTGAATACCTAAATACATTGGCTTAATCTTTATTGATGATTACTGAAAGTGCAGATACGGAGAAGATCATTTTCAGCAAATAGCATTTTTACAGGGATATACTCATGGACTAAGAGGTTGGCAAGAAAGTATACACAATGTGTGGAAAACAAACCAATTACTGAAAGTCTGTCAAACTGCATTAACAAAGCACACATTTTCCAGACAGCGGTACAAGAAAAGAAAGACGCTATTAGATTTCATTGTTGTCCCACCGCCATTGAATGGAATTCTTCTCTCGACGGTTCTCAACATCCACACCAGTGAGGATCTTTGGGAATAAGAGGAGAAATGTTAATAGCTGGTCTGATGATGTTGGGCTGGCAGAATAATTGTATTGGCGTGTAACTGACAATTATGGAGAGTAACTGTGAACTAAAAGAAAAGTGTCATAGTCGTCTTAATACCTTTATTTTAGGACTGGGGGATTAAACATTTTTCTCAAGTAATAGTTTACCCAATAGCAGTTTTTCATTTTTACATGAAGTGGGTAAAGTTAGTCATTTTACAAGCAGAACGGCATGGTCGGGAGGAGAAGCTTCCTTTCTGGAAGTTCGACGCGGTCAACACTAGTTATTGAGACGCGGGTTTCACCAAAGGCTGTACGTTCACTTATGCCCTTGCTGATGGAAGCAGTTTTCCTCAAATCTCACATCCAGGTATGCTCCAATACCTGCCTTCCTTGAACGACGACCTATCCGTCCTGGTCCCTTTGCTAAGGAAAACACAGCAAAGGTCAATATTGTTCCACGCCATTTTCTGTAGGCTGTTTTGCTTTATAGTATGCAAGTCCAACCGTCGTAGTTTCAGGAAGAAAAGAATGCTGATTTTGTACCAAAACATCATTTGGGGTTTCATTGGTCCACTATGACATTCTCCCAATCCTCATGGATCATCCAAATGCACTCTAGCAACTTCAGATGGGCCTGGACATGTACTGGCTTAAGCAGGGGACACGTCTGGCACTGCAGGATTTGAGTCCCTGGTGGCGTAGTGTGTTACTGATGGTAGGCTTTGTTACTTTGGTCCCAGCTCTCTGCAGGTCATTCACTAGGTCCCCCCGTGTGGTTCTGGGATTTTTGCTCACCGTTCTTGTGATCATTTTGACCCCACGGGGTGAGATCTTGCATGGAGCCCCAGATCGAGGGAGATTATCAGTGGTCTTGTATGTCTTCCATTTCCTAATAATTGCTCCCACAGTTGATTTCTTCAAACCAAGCTGCTTATCTATTGCAGATTCAGTCTTCCCGCCCTGGTGCAGGTCTACAATTTTGTTTCTGGTGTCCTTTGACAGCACTTTGCTCTTGGCCATAGTGGAGTTTGGAGTGTGACTGTTTGAGGTTGTGGACAGGTGTCTTTTATACTGATAACAAGTTCAAACAGGTGCCATTAATACAGGTAACGAGTGGAGGACAGAGGAGCCTCTTAAAGGAGAAGTTACAGGTCTGTGAGAGCCAGAAATCTTGCTTGTTTGTAGGTGACCAAATACTTATTTTCCACCATAATTTGCAAAAAATTCATTAAAAATCCTACAATGTTGACTTTCTGGATTTCTTTTCTCAATTTGTCTGTCATAGTTGACGTGTACCTATGATGAAAATTACATCTATATCTATCTCTCTATACTCCCCCACAGTGGGCGGCACGTGCTTAGTGGTTAGAGCGTTGTGCCAGTACACCGAAAGGTCGCTGTTCTAATCCCCGAGCTGACTAGGTGAAAAATCTGTCGATGTGCCTTGAGCAAGGCACTTAACCCTAATTGCTCCTGTAAGTCGCTCTGGATAAGAGCGTCTGCTAAAATGACAAAAAATGTAAAAATACCAGTCAAAAGTTTGGACTCATTCAAGAGTTTTTCTTTATTTTTACTATTTTTCTACATTGTAGAATAATAGTGAAGATATCAAAACTATGAAATAACACATGGAATCATGTTGTAACCAAAAAAGTGTTAATATATTTGACATTCTTCAAATAGCCACCCTTTGCCTTGATTACAGCTTTGCACACTTGGCATTCTCTCAACCAGCCTCTCAATTGGGGGGGGGGGGGGAAACATATGATACCCCTATTTGGTAAAATACCAAGTCCATATTATGGCAAGAACAGCTCAAATAAGCAAAGAGAAACGACAGTCCATCATTACTTTAAGACATGAAGGTCAGTCAATATGGAATATTTCAAGAACATTTAAAGTTTCTTCAAGTGCAGTTGCAAAAACCATCAAGCGCTATGATGAAACTGTCTCTCATTAGGACCACCCCAGAGTTACCTCTGCTGCAGAGGATAAGTTCATTAGAGTTACGAGCCTCAGAAATGGCATAAGTTGCATAAATGCTTCACAGAGTTCAAGTCACAGACACATCTCAACATCAACTGTTCAGAGGGGGCTGTGTGAATCTGGCCTTCATGGTCAAATTGCTGCAAAGAAACCACTACTAAAGGACACCAATAAGAAGAAGAGCTGCTTGGGCCAAGAAACATGAGCAATGGACATTAGACAGGTGGAAATTTGTCCTTTGGTCTGGAGTCCAAATTTGAGATTTTTGGTCCCAACCGCCATGTCTTTGTGAGACGCGGTGTGGGTGAACGGATGATCTCCGCATGTGTAGTTCCCACCGTAAAGCATGGATGACGAGGTGTTGGGGTGCTTTGCTGGTGACTGTGATTTATTTAGAATTCAAGGCACACTTAACCAGCATGGCTACCACAGCATTCTGCAGCGACACGCCATCCCATCTGGTTTGCGCTTAGTGGGACTATCATTTGTTTTTCAACAGGACAATGACCCAACACACCTCCAGGCTGTGTAAGGGCTATTTTACCAAGATGGAGAGCGATGGAGTGCTGCATCAGATGACCTGGCCTCCACAATCACCCGACCTCAACCCAATTGAGATGGTTTGGGATGAGTCGGACGGCAGAGTGAAGGAAAAGCAGCCAACAAGTGCTCAGCATATGTGGGAACTCCTTCAAGACTGTTGGAAAAGCATTCCAGGTGAAGCTGGTTGAGAGAATGCCAAGAGTGTGCAAAGCTGTCATCAAGGCAAAGGGTGGCTATTTGCAGAATCTCATTATAAAATAGATTTAGATTTGTTTAACACTTTTTTGGTTACTACATGATTCCATATGTGTTATGTCATAGTTCTGATGTGTTTACTATTATTCTACAATGTAAATAGTAAAAAAAAGAAAAACCCTTGAATGAGTAGGTATGTCCAAACTTTTGACTAGTACTCTGTGTGTGTGTGTGTGTGTGTGTGTGTGTGTGTGTGTGTGTGTGTGTGTGTGTGTGTGTGTGTGTGGTGTGTATGTATATATATATATATATATATATATATCTATATATATATATATATATATATATATATATATATATATATATATATGTATATATATATATAGGCTGCAGGTAGCCTAGCGGTTAAGAGCATTGGGCCAGTAACTGAAAGGTCGCTGGTTCGAATCCCCGAGCCGACTTGGTGAAAAATCTGTTGATGTGCCCTTTGGTCAAGGCACTTAATCCTAATTGCTCCAGTAAATTGCTTTGGATAAGAGAGTCTGCTAAATGACTCAAATGTAAATATAACTGGATCTTTTTTATGATCTTTCTTGAAAAACTGGTATATGGTTAGCAAAAATGGCTGTTTAAATGTAATTTATTTCTGCATACTCACAATTTACATTCAGTTTGTACCCGACCCCTTTGATGGGCGCTCCCCCCTGAGAAACTATGCATTGGTACAGCCCATCATCAGACTGGAGCAGAGGACTGAAAGACAGAGTGATGTTGTTGGGAGAGAGACTGACCCTGCCGGACACAGCTACAGGGAGGCCATTTTTTAACCACAAAATGGAGGCTGGATTCTGAGAGCCCACACACTGCAGTGAGAAGGGCTGGTGTGCCAAGGGCTTGTCCTGGGACACCGGCTGTACAGAGATAGGTTCTGGAAGACAGGGGAGTGGAAAAGAGGTGAAGAGGACAGAAAGAACAAGCAACATTTTATTTTCAGAGAGATACAAAGTTAAATACTTTGAGTTGACTTTTACAAAATGGTGGGCTTTCACCTTCAAACATCTGATTCTAAATATTTACTTGTGTGAAATTATTTGTCACAAACTCTGACTTACCAATGACGGTCAGGATCTTGGTGCTAACAGCAGTGACCCCTGAGGCAACATTCTTGGCCTCACACGTCAGTGCCTCATTGTGCCTGTACTCATCAACAGTAACTACCAGTTTACTGGCAACCATGGGCTTATCGCCCTTATGGAAGACGGGCAACTGGATATTGTCGCCATTGAAGATCTTTCCATTGAATGTCCAGATAAAGTTACAGGAGGGGGTGCAGTCAACAAAGCACACAAAGTTGTAAGTGTCTCCTACTCTCACTGAGCTGTCACCCATGATCAAAATGGCCCCCGGTCCGCCTGGGATGAGGTGGAAGTAAACACATGACTATGTTTAATTGATTGTAAACTCTTAGAACCTTCTAGAATATATGACTAACATAATATAGTAAAATAATACTATATGCCACTTAGCAGATGCTTTTATCCAAAGCGACTTCAATGGACCACTCAAGTTTTAAAAAATTACAAATTCCACTCACGGGCCACATAAGGTGTAACAAGGTTGAGATGTAGAGGAGTGAGACGGTGTCCTGAGCCTCGCAGATCAGTTCCTCTGCAAACTCCCAGGAGGCAGGTGTGACTTAGATGGTTTGGCCGTATTTGGTGGTCACTGTGCTTTGTCCTTCAGAACTAATCGTCCAGGTGTAAGAGCAGGACGGGTAGCAATCAGCAGAACAGGAAAAGTTGGACGTCACTCCACTGGACAGTGCATCAGGACCTGTGATTTTTATATTGGACGGTCCAGCTAGAAAATATAATTGTCATGGGTTGAATTAGGTTGGGAACAGAGCTCCATAAATGTGCAGTACAGAGGCACAAAAGCATTACATCTTTTGGCATAGTATGATTTCTAAATATTAATTTAGATTGATAAAAATTTATTTAAACTGATTATAAGTAGCCTAAATGTCACGTTGTCTGTTTTGCTGACTGTCACTGACTTCCCGGTGGTGGGGTTTATCGCCAAACAGATCAGGACCTGTGGAGGAACCTGCTCCTTCAGCTGGAGGTTGAGCTCTGGGCCCTGGGTGGTGAGCCCTCCTCTGGTCCAGGTGAAGGTGCAGGCTTGGAAGCAATTGGCTGAGCACTGGAAGCCATAGGGAACCTCCACCGTCACTGTGTTCACCCCACTGATCTCCACAGAGGACGGCCCATCTGACAGAATGGAAAACAAGCCACTGAGTCATACACATAATGTGAAAAAATGAGGATGAAGTGGATTTTTTAAATATTTTTTCTTGTTCACTATAATGTTAGCATAAGGATAAACAATGGGTGATTAATGCATTTCGTTATTTGGCATACATTTATACCTCAGAAAAGTGGCTGACAATCTTATCAGGAACCAATTCAAAAACAAAATGATTATGTTACTAGTGTTTGGACCTTTATGTGGGTTATCAGCTTCACGTCATTGTGTTCTGGTTAGGGTGTGTGTGCTAGTTTCTTGTGTTCGCAGGCGTTTACTGCGGCTGAGCCTTTTGATACTGCCAAGTGACATGTCTCTGAGCTAGGGAGCATTCACATGGTTTGCTTCTTGTCCATTCAGACGGGTGAAGGTTACAGACATGTTTTAATCTGTTTATCCTATTATGTAGAATAGCTCTTATTTAGATAGAGGTTGTTGGTATAATAATAATATTAAAGGATACTTATTATTTTTCCATTTAAAATGCATTGATTCACTTTGACCTAGATCATCACCAATGTAAGTATAATTCAAGATGATAAGAGGGTTATAAATTACATGAAAAAACTTGAAAAGATAGAAAGGGTGTGTGTAGGTGATACCATTGCCTCTCTGGAACATTGATTGTTCTTATGTACCATAAAAGAAACTCCTGATTTATAATCAGTGATAATCAAAAACGGACTAATCGCACTCCATGATCAAGTGTGTTTTAATATTTACTCATGTTGATTACATTCAAGATCAAAATGTAGATGCAGAGTAGATGTACAGTGGGGGAAAAAAGTATTTAGTCAGCCACCAATTGTGCAAGTTCTCCCACTTAAAAAGATGAGAGAGGCCTGTAATTTTCATCATAGGTACACGTCAACTATGACCGACAAAATGAGAATCACATTGTAGGATTTTTAATGAATTTATTTGCAAATTATGGTGGAAAATAAGTATTTGGTCAATTACAAAAGTTTCTCAATACTTTGTTATATACCCTTTGTTGGCAATGACACAGGTCAAACGTTTTCTGTAAGTCTTCACAAGGTTTTCACACACTGTTGCTGGTATTTTGGCCCATTCCTCCATGCAGATCTCCTCTAGAGCAGTGATGTTTTGGGGCTGTCGCTGGGCAACACAGACTTTCAACTCCCTCCAAAGATTTTCTATGGGGTTGAGATCTGGAGACTGGCTAGGCCACTCCAGGACCTTGAAATGCTTCTTACGAAGCCACTCCTTCGTTGCCCGGGCGGTGTGTTTGGGATCATTGTCATGCTGAAAGACCCAGCCACGTTTCATCTTCAATGCCCTTGCTGATGGAAGGAGGTTTTCACTCAAAATCTCACGATACATGGTCCCATTCATTCTTTCCTTTACACGGATCAGTCGTCCTGGTCCCTTTGCAGAAAAACAGCCCCAAAGCATGATGTTTCCACCCCCATGCTTCACAGAAGGTATGGTGTTCTTTGGATGCAACTCAGCATTCTTTGTCCTCCAAACACGACGAGTTGAGTTTTTACCAAAAAGTTATATTTTGGTTTCATCTGACCATATGACATTCTCCCAATCCTCTTCTGGATCATCCAAATGCACTCTAGCAAACTTCAGACGGGCCTGGACATGTACTGGCTTAAGCAGGGGGACACGTCTGGCACTGCAGGATTTGAGTCCCTGGCGGCGTAGTGTGTTACTGATGGTAGGCTTTGTTACTTTGGTCCCATCTCTCTGCAGGTCATTCACTAGGTCCCCCCGTGTGGTTCTGGGATTTTTGCTCACCGTTCTTGTGATCATTTTGACCCCACTGGGTGAGATCTTGCATGGAGCCCCAGATCGAGGGAGATTATCAGTGGTCTTGTATGTCTTCCATTTCCTAATAATTGCTCCCACAGTTGATTTCTTCAAACCAAGCTGCTTACCTATTGCAGATTCAGTCTTCCCGCCCTGGTGCAGGTCTACAATTTTGTTTCTGGTGTCCTTTGACAGCTCTTTGGTCTTGGCCATAGTGGAGTTTGGAGTGTGACTGTTTGAGGTTGTGGACAGGTGTCTTTTATACTGATAACAAGTTCAAGCAGGTGCCATTAATACAGGTAACGAGTGGAGGACAGAGGAGCCTCTTAAAGAAGTTGTTACAGGTCTGTGAGAGCCAGAAATCTTGCTTGTTTGTAGGTGACCAAATACTTATTTTCCACCATAATTTGCAAATCAAATTCATAAAAAATCCTACAATGTGATTTTCTGGATTTTTTTTCTCAATTTGTCTGTCATAGTTGACGTGTACCTATGATGAAAATTACAGGCCTCTCTCATCTTTTTAAGTGGGAGAATTTGCACAATTGGTGGCTGACTAAATACTTTTTTCCCCCACTGTAGATGCCCCTCATCTGTTGTGAAGTTAATGCTACACGTCAGACAGACAATACAGTGGGGAAAAAAAGTATTAAGCAGGGGGACACGTCTGGCACTGCAGGATTTGAGTGCCTGGCGGCGTAGTCTGTTACTGATGGTAGGCTTTGTTACTTTGGTCCCAGCTCTCTGCAGGTCATTCACTAGGTCCCCCCGGATTTTTTTTCTCAATTTGTCTGTCATAGTTGACGTGTACCTATGATGAAAATTACAGGCCTCTCTCATCTTTTTAAGTGGGAGAACTTGCACAATTGGTGGCTGACTAAATACTTTTTTTCCCCACTGTATGTGAACATAGCACTTCAACCACCAATAGGGAACTATTTCACATATTTAATTTACTATGATGGTAATGAATTTAGATAATTGTTTCAGAATTTATTGGAGAGAAAACACTAAGAATATCATGTATTTTATTGCAGTTATGCGATTTGTAGACAAATGTTGGGACTGTAAATTACTTGCGCAAACAAGATCTATATTACACTGATTTAATCCAAAGGCACAGACTGAAGTAATGTATTTTAAATGGCGTGTTGAGCTGGACCTGCCCTGCCTTGAGCCTGTCCACCTCAACACGCCATTTAAAATACATTACTTCAAAGTCTGTGCCTTCCATGAAGATGGCATGCTTGCAGGTTTCAATTCCATCTCAAGTCTGGAAAAAAGTTACACATTGCAAAAAAGACATGTTACTAAATTAATGTAAATGTATCTTTATTAAATATTTAATCCAAATAGGCTATACACGTGATGATGCTTGCACACTCACGTAGTGCTTTGATATTGAAAGATTCAGCCAAGCCTTTCCACTTAATTTATCATCAGCAAATATGGTTAACGTCCTGATATGGGAGGTACTGTTTGTTCTTTACCAATAAACCACATGTTCCATCACTGTAATAATGATGGATGTTTTCAAATTATTCAGATGTGTGTGTGGAAAACCGCTCACTTCCTTGTACCAAACTGCCCTCTCCTGGATTATGGTGATATGATGGTGTAGAGTGAGAGTGTGAAGGCAAACAGAAGCAGGTCTAAAGTCTGTTCAGCCTGTGTGGCCATGGATTTGCCATCATCTGTAACACACAAAAAAAAACATTACAAAAGGAACACCAAAAAGCCACTTGAAGCTTTGTGCGGGGCCCCTGGGGTCATCAGGGCAGGGCCTGTGATCGATACGTTGGTTGGTCCAGCTAAAAGGAGGAACACATACACATTTAGATAATAGTCTAGATCCTACAACCAATGTGAAAAACATGAGCAACATAATTTAATCTAACACTAATCCAGACATCTTGTCCGTAAATTACAAGGCATTGAATTATCACTCCATTCCTAATATCATAAAGACCATGCACCTCTAATTTCAGGTGAAGTGTCATATTATTATAATTTTTAAACACCCACGCACCTAAAACCTGCAGTATCTTTGTTACTGTAGAGGACCTCCCAGAGTCATCATTCCTTGCAGTGCATGTGAGGTTTAGGGACTCCTCCCATTGGCGAGCTGTGAAGAACAGCTCGTTGCCTTGCTCAATCTGCCCGTTGATACTCATGTTGTAGCTACAGGAGGGAGAGCACTGGGCAGCACATTCAAAACCGTATAGCACGCCGACAGTCACAAAGTCAGCTCCCACAATGTTTAGTTCCAAGGGACCATCTGAAAAATACAGTACACAATCAGGCAATGTAGGCCTGATTACAAAAGGAACACCAAAAAGCCAACTGACATTTACTCCTGAGGTGCTGAGCTGCTGCACCCTCTACAACCACTGTGATTATTATTTGACCCTGCTGGTGATCTATGAATGTTTGAACATCTTACATTTACATTTACATTTTAGTCATTTAGCAGACGCTCTTATCCAGAGCGACTTACAGTTAAGTGAGTGCATACATTTTCATACTGGTATCTTGAAGAACAATCTGGCTCTAAATCTCCCAATAACCTACATATCACAGGTATTGTCCTTGTTGCCATGTCATAGAGCCCAGACACACTGTTGATGGCCTTGCAGTTCAGGGTAACAGAGGTGGCCAACTCTTCGGGAGTTACGGTAATCTCGTTCCCCTGTCCTCCGAGCCATCGGCCCTTTATCCCCCAGGTGTAGTTACAGGAGGGACGGCAGTCGGCGTAACACTTGAAGCTTTGTGGGGCCCCTGGGATCATCAGGGCAGGGCCTGTGATCGATACGTTGGTTGGTCCAGCTAAAAGGAGGAACACATACACATTTAGACAATAGTCTAGATCCTACAACCAATGTGAAAAACATGAGCAAAATAATTTAATCTAACACTAATCCAGTAATCCAGACATCTTGTCCGTAAATTACAAGGCATTGAATTATCACTCCATTCCTAATATCATAAAGACCATGCACCTCTAATTTCAGGTGAAGTGTCATATTATTATAATTTTTAAACACCCACACACCTAAAACCTGCAGTATCTTTGTTACTGTAGAGGACCTCCCAGAGTCATTATTCCTTGCAGTGCATGTGAGGTTTAGGGACTCCTCCCATTGGCGAGCTGTGAAGAACAGCTCGTTGCCTTGCTCAATCTGCCCGTCGATACTCATGTTGTAGCTACAGGAGGGAGAGCACTGGGCAGCACAGTCAAAACTGCATGGCACGCCGACAGTCACAAAGTCAGGTCCCACAATGTTTAGTTCCAAGGGACCATCTGAAAATTACAGTACACAATCAGGCAATGTAGGCCTACTGGATTTTCTGCACACAGTGTGTAAATTAACTTGTAACAGTGATAAATTACTACTAAAAGTCATTTTAAATAAACCCCTCTCTTTTGTACAGTAGTTAGCTGCTAGCTGTTAGCACTACCGTCCTACCACAGGTACAATCCAGAGGACCCAGAGTCCGAATAATGATGTTACCATACTGTAATACGTTGAGTAGTATGTGTCTGTGGTTTACTTACTGGTACTGCCCTTCCCCCCATCGCTGGTCACAGCTGATCCTGGAAGTTCATAAAAACAGCCTCACAGTCTATCATCAACACATTATAATGTATATGTAACACTAAAACTATCATTATGCTTAGACACATATTTAGCCTATTGTCCGAACAAAAGTTTAACCTCAGCAGACACTGAACATATACATGGTTATAGAGCTTAACAGGTGTCCAGAACATATACACCTATTGACTGATGTCAAACCGAGTTCGGCATTCCTCAAAAATACATTTTGACAAAATATTTGTTGTTTTTTCCATATCATATTACCTGCTAGGTACACGAGCAGCAGAAGCAGATTGAGCAGGGTGGGTGTATCCTTCATTGTCTCGCAGCGATGGAGTGAGGTGAATGGAAACCAGGAAATATGGGACTGTTACATAGTCAAGTAGTAGAGTGAGAAGGTAAACACCTTATCAGTGAGAACAGACTGAGCAAACCTGCCCTGCCTTGAGCCTGTCCACCTCAACAAGCCATTTAAAATACATTACTTCTGTAGTGACCATTAAATAGGGCGAAACAGAACTGGCAGCTTTTACATTGCAGAGGCAGTTGCGCAAAATTGTAATTGCGCAAAATGGTACACATCTTCATCTGGATATGTATTAAACAAAAATTCTAGATATGGACCACACAGAACGCACTGCAACTGCCTCTGCAATGCTGCAAGGCAAACGCAGCGTTCCATTGGAAATTAATGTACTTCTGGTGTACCAAAATGCAATAATGCTGTAGGTATGATCGAGAGGTTAAACCCTCAAATCCACTGCTCCATTTGTCCTAGAGACTTGAAACTTTGTCTTTCCTCATGCTGAACAAATTTACCTCAAGGATCCATAAGGTCCGTCAGGAAAGATTTTCCTCCATTTTGAAATGTAAAAATAACATGTACGTCCATGGTTCATTCTTATATTCACACAGCTTCAAAATTTTTACTTTTTTTTACATTTTAGTCATTTAGCAGAGCGTGTGGTTACACGTGGTCTGCGGTTGTGAGGCCAGTTGGATGTACTACTAAATTCTCTAAAACGACGTTGGAGGCGGCTTATGGTAGAGAAATGAATATTAAATTATCTGGCAACAGCGCTGTTGGACATTCCTGCAGTCAGCATGCCAATTGCACGCAACCTCAAAACTTGAGACTTCTGTGGCATTGTATTGTGTGACAAAACTGCACATTTTAGAGTGGCCTTTTCATTGTCTCCAGCACAAGGTGCACCTGTGTAATGATCATGCTGTTTAATCAGCTTCTTGATATGCCACACCTGTCAGGTGGATGGATTATCTTAGAAAATGAGAAATGCTCACTAACAGGGATATAAACACATTTGTGCTCAAAATTTGAGAGAAATAAGCTTTTTGTGCGTATGGAACATTTCTGGAATCTTTTATTTCAGCTCATGAAAAATGGGACCAACACTTTACATTTTGAGTTTATATTTTTGTTCAGTGTAACATGAAATTATTCCATGTGTGTTCTCATTCCCTATTCAAATACCCTTAGTATAACCTGACACATTATCTGACCACTGCTACAAAATGTACACTGAGCAATGTCTCAGTTGAGAATTTGTATTAATAATAAATCATATGTATAAATAGGATAAACAACACCTCTTGTACCAGCTGGTCTTCATAGAAGGACACAAAGTTTATTGACCAATAAAATGAAGAAGATGTAGTCACTTGCAATAAAATGATTCACTCAACCAATAACCAAAACTGTAAGAATGGCAAGAACCTTTCTTTAAACCTGGCAAGACCTCCCGGTAAGAATGGCAAGAACCTCTCGGTTCGTGGTGCTCGAGCCGCCAAAAGATTAAACTAGCTGAAGTCTTGAGCGGCCGCAGCACATGATTGACCAATGAGCAGAATGAATCTTGTCAACCAATCAAACAATGTTTTTTTAATGACAACATTCGAGCTGACAAAAACCGGGACCTCTGGTCTCTACACATGGTAGGCTGATTTTTCCACAGTTCAATTGCTGTTTACTGCGGCCCATCTGTAAGCACCTAAACCCAGCAGCGTGCAGAGCTGTAGGTGCTATCTAGTCTCCTTTGGTAACTTAGAGTTGATTGAAGAATACGATTCCCACCAGGGTCAGTGGGTTACTGATCCTGATAATATAGAAACACACAGACTACTGGATAGATGGCTTAGTGCATGCAGTCCTCAATTGAAACATTCCGCTCGTGATAGCTAGCCATCCACTGTCACACCCTGGCTCTGGGACTCTATATGTTGAGCCAGGGTGTGTTCATTCTATGTGTTATATTTCTATGTTGGGGGTTCTAGTTCTTCTGTTTCTTTGTTGGCCTGAGTGACTCCCAATCAGAGGCAACGAGTGTCAGCTGTGGCTGGTTGTCTCTGATTGGGAGCCATATTTAAACTGTCTGTTTTCCCTTGGTGTTTGTGGGTTTTTGTTCCAGTTGGTCATTGTTACCTAGGACGTTACGAGTCGTTTTGTATCGTGTGTGCACTTTAACTAATTAAAGTATGTTCGCTCAACACGCTGCGCCTTGGTCCTCCTCTATGTATGACGATCGTGACAGAAAAACCCACCATACCAGGACCAAGCAGCGTGTCCAGGAGCAGGCAGCCTGGACGTGGGAGCAGATTTTGGACGGACAGGGGTCCTGGACCTGGGAGGAAATCCTGGCCGGGATGGATCGCCGGCCATGGAGTGAGACTGTAGAGAGGCGACGGAGAGAGGAGCAACGGCGTGATCAGGGTCGATGCCGTGTGCCCCCCCCTCCATGCCGTGTGCCCCCCCCCCTAAACATTTTCTGGGGTTGCCTCTCGACCGTCCGACGGGGCTGACGGAGGCAGACAAGGGGCGTATTCAAAAGGCCACCAGGTTACGGGGGTCACTGGTAAAGGAAGGGAAGGAAGGTTTAGAGGCATGGCGAGAGGTACTGGGATGTGTTACCAGTCCGGTCCGGCCTGTTCCAGATCCCGGGGTAGAGCCAGTGGTGTGTGTCCCCAGTACGGTCTGGCCTGTTACGGCCCCTCGCACCAAATGGACGGTGCGCGTCGCCAGCCCGGTCCGGCCTGTTCCTGCCTCTCGCACCAAGCCTACGGTGTGCGTCGCCAGCCCGGTCCGGCCTGTCCCTGCTCCACGCACCAAGCCTACGGTGTGCGTCGCCAGCCCGGTCCGGCCTGTCCCTGCTCCTCGCACCAAGCCTACGGTGTGCGTCGCCAGCCCGGTCCGGCCTGTCCCTGCTCCACGCACCAAGCCTACGGTGTGCGTCGCCAGCCCGGTCCGGCCTGTCCCTGCTCCTCGCACCAAGCCTACGGTGTGCGTCGCCAGCCCGGTCCGGCCTGTCCCTGCTCCTCGCACCAAGTCTACGGTGTGCGTCGCCAGCCCGGTCCGGCCTGTCCCTGCTCCTCGCACCAAGTCTACGGTGTGCGTCGCCAGCCCGGTCCGGCCTGTCCCTGCTCCACGCACCAAGCCTACGGTGTGCGTCGCCAGCCCGGCCCGGCCTGTTCCTGCCACTCGCACCAAGTCTACGGTGCGCGTCGCCAGCCCGGCCCGGCCTGTTCCTGCCACTCGCACCAAGTCTACGGTGCGCGTCGCCAGCCCGGCCCGGCCTGTTCCTGCCACTCGCACCAAGCCAGGGGTGCGAGTCGTCAGCCTGGTCCGGCCCGTCCCGGCTCCACGCACCAGGCCAGGGGTGCGCGTTGTCAGTCCGGCACGGCCTGTGCCTGGGTCACCGGTGCCTGGTAAGGTACCGGTCAACTGCTCCACTACGGAGCTGAAGCTAACCGCTCCTGCTACGTCCAGTTTAGCTCCAGCCAGCGGGGCCAGACCGGACCAGGGGCGCTATGGGGGGTTTGTTGGAGGGTGGTGGGCAAGGCCGGAGCCGGAACCGCCGCCGAGGAGGAATGCCCACCCAGCCCTCCCCTGTTTTGTTCTAGCGGAGGCGCGGTCGCAGTCCGCGCCTTTAGGGGGGGGTACTGTCACACCCTGGCTCTGGGACTCTATATGTTGAGCCAGGGTGTGTTCATTCTATGTGTTATATTTCTATGTTGGGGGTTCTAGTTCTTCTGTTTCTTTGTTGACCTGAGTGACTCCCAATCAGAGGCAACGAGTGTCAGCTGTGGCTGGTTGTCTCTGATTGGGAGACTGTCTGTTTTCCCTTGGTGTTTGTGGGTTTTTGTTCCAGTTGGTCATTGTTACCTAGGACGTTACGAGTCGTTTTGTTGTTTTGTATCGTGTGTGCACTTTAACTAATTAAAGTATGTTCGCTCAACACGCTGCGCCTTGGTCCTCCTCTATGTATGACGATCGTGACATCCACTTAGCTAGCTAGATCACTGACAGGCTAACTAGCAACTCAAACCATGAGATGGGTAACAACTTGCTCTCTCCAAACAGTGCACACAACTAACCAACTCTGGCTGAGAAGGTTGGAAAATAAAACAATTGTAGATCATTTTAAAACATAGCTACCTATGTACAAAAGTTGGTGTTAGTCTCTGCCTCACACACTCTAATTCTCCTCAGGACTAACTCCCACCCCTAGGCTATTCTCATTCGTTTTCCTCACTCCAAGTAAGTTCCCTCTGATCAGTGGTGTAGTGGTGCCTGGAGAAGTGGGTATACTCCAATAAAAAAATGAAAATGGCCCACCTGGCGAAGGAAAGGAGCCCTATGTGAAAACTTCTATGAGAAACAGTGACATACTCTGAATGATCTAAATGGATAAATCCCATATTGGTCTTTCATAGTCAGGCCGATCCAAGCAGTACTGTGCAGTAGGCTAATAGTAGGCCTACTATTGAAACAAATAAAATGAGTCATAAATTCACAGGTTTCAGATTTTGTTTTCGTTCTCAATCACACTTTTAGTTTCTTTGTTGAAAAACAACAAAATTGTATGTTCTAAGTCCATAACCATGCTTAAACCACATCAGGAGACTCTTGCGGTCTGGGTAAAATCTACGTTTTCTTTGTTTTTGAGTAGTAACCCTTTAATTCAAGTGTGCAGGCACCTAGCACTATTGTTTGGTTAGCAGTGTTTCTGTAGCACATGAGATGGAGTTAGCAAATAAATGGCCACTGGATTGACCGCAAATTATATGATATCATTCTGACAGGTAGGCATAGGCTACTTTGTAGCGAGTTAATGTCGTCTCTCGTGTCCGAAGTGGGATGCTGGTGGTTATTGCTGTCAAACAAAGAGTCCGCTCATACTGAACCTTTGATCATAAGTTTTATTCATATCACAAGCTTTCAGCATGAGTTACAGGAGTCAAGATCCCCCGGAGAGCAGTGTCCTCGAATTGTAATGGCTGCTCTGCTTTCCTGTGCCTCCAGCA